AGGGGTAGAAGTCTTAAATACCCACCAAATTCCAATTATAATACACTCAAAACTTGGTATTTTCCCCCTGTGAGTGCTGGCAGACACATATCAGTATGTAATATCTTAGGGTTCACTTTCTCATGCATGTATTCAACTAATATTTACTACGTAGTGACCATGCCAGGCACTACACTGGTCAGACAATAGTGAACAAAACAGACATGGTCCCTGCCCTGACCCATGTCCTGGATCTTAGTCTCAACTCTCACTAACAGTAGGTGAACGATTTATTTCTCTGGCCTCAATTCCCTCATTTGACCAATGGTAACATGAGATAACATTACTATCTTACATTTATTTCAGAGAGACCTTCATAAAGTATCTCATCAGAGCCTCACAAGTATCCTGAGAGTTTGGCAAGACAGGCATCACTGACCTCAGAGGTCCCTTTCAGATCTAGCACTCCATGATTCTACAACCATTTCCTGAGGGCAGGCTTCTAACACAGAGAAAAGCACCTGACTGTCTTTTCCAAAATTTCCATTGGAGCTTCAGAAGTCCTAAAGGATATCACCTCAGACAATTTCTTAAGTGAAAGAATTAACAACCGTGTTCTTTGTTCAACACAGCTACACTCACCCTGAAAGATTCAAGATCGTATTAATCAAGAAAACATGAGGTGGTGGGTTTACCATCAGAGGAGGGTGGTGTGGTCCCAAGTGGTGTGGCTGGGGTTGTCGGAGCAGGACTGACAGGGGTTGTCACCAAGCCCATCTCTGGATGACTCTGAAAGAGAACAGAAGCAGGTAAGAAAAGACATAACCTAGTTCTGAGTAGCCTCCCCACAACAGTCTTTCTGGTATTCCTGGCGTCATAATTAGATGGAATGCTCACTGAGGAGGGACCGCTTCTGCATTGAGTTCCCGTGAGAACGTGATTCCTGTTGATGCTTGCTAAATTCTAATAAGAAGCTCTGTGGGCAAGTTTTCTTTAAGCAACTAAGTTCCCATTACATAAGTTTTCTGCAGAACCATGCAAATAAAAAACTGGGGTAAACAAATACCTGAGATTATTCTACCAAAAAGAGGGCATCTACAGTCCTAACTGAACCTGGGAAAGGACTCCTCTCATCAGATCAACCTAAAACACATACATAGACTGTCTTGATGACCACACAGTTGACGAATAAGTACAGGCGAAGCAAGTGGATAAGAGGTGTTATAAAAAGAGCTAGCAGACAGCAGTCTCCCTGTTCCACAACCAATAAGAGTGTACAGTGTGGAAGCAGAGACGTGGGGGAGACATCCACTGGGACCCAAACAGATGACTCCTCTGTCCCTGACCTTCCTTAGCCACCTCTGTCACATTAGCTCTTGAGAATTAAGCTGAGGGGCAGCTATTCCCTTCTCCTCCCCAACAGCTTTTCCAGCCTTTCACCTTCCTCATCCCTCCTTTAACATCAGTGACAGACACCAGACAGCAGACAAACATAATGAGAATGGTGGATAAAATCTCTCATGTTCTCAGTCTTGATAAATAATAAGTGTCCTCATAGGCAGAGCCTAAACCAGCACACTACTTTTTAAGCATGGCCTCATTCTGTTGTTGTTGTTAAATAAAACTCCATCAGTGATTCCACCCATACACATCTGCCCTTTGAGACAGAAAAAAGCATAAACATAAACAAACGTCCTTTTAAAAGAAACCTGCATACATATTTTAAACATTCTGACTCTAAGATACAAACACTTTATCAATTTTTAAAGACAGCTTTCATGGCCAGCACTTGAGCTCCTGGCCTGTTTTAGTCCCTCTCTACCAACTACCGAAGACATCCCAAGCTAGGAAGTGACCTAGCACTCAGGATCCTGTGACTTCCTGCTTTCGATACGCATAGACCATTTTTTCTCCTAACAGCTAGCCTTATGCTAGATATGATACTTTTTACTTTTGTACTCGGGAAATTGGTGAAATAATAAGACAAGTGACTTGGCCTCTTTTATCTCTAGTTGCAATTCCACAGTGGTTTAGGAAGCAGAAAGCCTGACATGAAAATCCATATGGGAATTGCCAGTGAGCAAAATGAAGTAATCTCAACTTGTCTGGGTTAACAGAATCAGTAAACTGGTCAAATGAATTAGTAGAGTGGTCAAAACCATTGACTTTGCATACTATCAGACCCGCTTCAGCACTAGATGGAAACATACATAATTGAGGACAACCCGATACAGAGGCAACTAATGCACCTCTTTGTTATTACCACTTACCAATACAAAGCAGGGGTTAAACGGGCAGAGCCAGCGAGGCTTTTCAATGGAGTGAATCTGTATGAAATTCAGGGAGAAGAAGGATTGGAGTTTTTAATATAACCAACCTGGGCTAACACTGTGATGAAGTTGCGATTTAAATGAACAGCTTCATAAAGTGCCAGAAGGATGGCCTCATTGGTTCTAAAGAAAGAAAACAAAGAGAACAAACTGGAGAGGCTCTTATAGTGGAAGAGTTAAAACACTATGACCAACAAGATAAAATTTCACCCAAGTTCCTCATTATCAATCCCTTTGAGTTTCTAATGTTCCCTTTATTTCCTTGTTGGGTTTATGTAAAGGGTATATAGGCAAGGAGTCAGGGCTTTAATTTTAATTCCTTAGAACTAGTTTTTATTCACTTCATTCCCTATTTTCCTTCTCATTTTTCTACCCCAATTCAGTTAAGTCCTTAACTGGTTCAGACACCTAGCCCCCCTTCATTTCATTCCAGAGACAGCTGAGAACCATTTTTCAGCTTCTTAGGGCTCAACAGACATGTCCAAAGGAGTGGTTTCTAAGGGTCCATTATTGTTTACGACCCAAGAAACATCTTATAAATCACCATAAAAGTTTGAATCCATAAAAGATTAACAAGAGGTAACGTTTCACACTCCTATCCAGCCAGATAGCCCACACTAGAGTTCAAGTCACCGCACAAGAATGTCAGCCACTTACTGTACTGAGATTTTCTCATGGGCATCTGCTATGAACATGCTGCCCACCTGTGGAAGGAAAGAGGAATTGCAGATTTATAGCAGGGAAATGTGAAAGGGGCTCTGTGCCGGTGAAGCCTTTAAATCAGTGAAAGGACAAGCTGCTTGCAGCCTGAGGGAACAGGGAACTGGCCCTCCCATCCTACAGACGAAAACCAGCCCACTTTAAAGATCTTCAAAGAATCACAAGAACTCCACTAAATTGTCTTTCCTTAAGGGGCCTTAAAACAGAACAATCAGGACTTTGGTCCAGCTCTCCTCTTCAATGTGTAAGTTCAGTAACCGCTGACAGCAAGTAAATGGTAACCTAGACCTCCTTGTCACTCTGCATCTTTCCCAAAAGTTGCTTATTTGAAGTCAGAAACTAACTTATAAACAACACCACAGAAAGCACACTGATTTCATCCAACATAGAGCCATCTTCGGAGGAATATTTGGGTTTCAGACCAGAAATGTCTATGTGAGACCCACTTTCAGATCATAAAATCTTTAGTCTGTGTTGTAGGCAGGGCAGCCAAAGAAGTAAATGGAGTAGGCTATCTCCAATACGTGTGATATCAGAGGCACTGAGAAAGATGCCCATCCCTCTAAAAATACTTTTCCATCTGCCTACTGATGCTCCCAAACTATGCAGCTCAAACTTCCTTTGTTTCATACAAAACTTTTCCTTCCTGGCTAAAAGGCCAGGATCCCTGGGAGCAGTATAATTATATCCAATTCATTTAACCAAATACCAACACAGTGCTCATATTGCTCTGACCTCTGAGAAACTTTATTCACTTATGCTTCAGAGTTAAAGAGCTTATCAGATCCTTTTCTGAGAGTAGACTCTAAGAAAAAAGAAGGGAAGATGACAGGCATTGAGGGGAAAAAGCTGCCTTTTCGGGGATAGATGGATGATTATTTTTTGCAGTGAACTCAAAAACTGTCTTGCCCTACAGCTGATCACTTGAATACTAATGTCCAAGAAGAAAGACTTTCTAAATCTGCCTAGATTCTAAGACCTGCGAGATTTATCTCTTAAAAATTAGTCCCAGCAGGAGCACCTGGGTGGCTCAGTAGGTTAAGTAACCAACTTCGGCTCAGGTCATGATCTCATGGTTCGTGGGTTTGAGCCCCGTGTCGGGCTCTGTGCTGAGCACTTGCTCGGAGCCTGGAGCCTGCTTCAGATTCTGTGTCTCCTTCTCTCTCTGCCCCCTCACCCCCCTTGTGCTAGAAGTCTCA